GATTATACACTTCAACAAGATTTTTTTACATAGTGACTGCTCTGAAAACTTAAAACTTAAAAATGCTAAAACTGTTGACCAACGAAATGGTACTTCTATTCTTATGCTATACTCGTAGAAGATTTGATAAAACTTCATAGAAGAAAGCGTCTGATGTTGAATGTCTATGATTTTTTCATTTGTCACTGTATTCTAGTTAGGGATACAAAACTTATTCCCAGTAGTAGAATTGTCCAGATTATCAACCTGTCTGATTTTTAAAATTTCTTAATAGGTTCAAACCCTTTTGCTTTTAAATAAAATTTTCTTCGTGCAGTCGCTTCACCCTCATGTAAAATCAAATTCCACGTGAAATTCATCTGGTTTTACGAAACGTAAAAGTTTTAATTGCTTACTTGATTAATGTATTACCCAAATTTCATCTTGTTAGTACTGATGAGTTGGAACTTTTGTTACCTGAATTATTAGGTAACAGTACAAGCAACACCACATTGGGCTTTAAACTTTAGACATCGGATGTTATTACAGTATCAAATATATTAATGTAAAACATAAATGTAAAGGGAGATGTAGGGTATAGGACGTAGGATTAAATAACTTTCTGAAACCCGAAAGATAAATACACATATATCTTCCCTGGCCAGCAGGTTAAGCTCCGCTGCATACGCAGTCCGCAGAAAACGTGAGCTTACCGATGTTAGTACTGCTAGACTAGCTTACTTTAGTTAATTCCATAGTATAATGTCCTATGGGATTCTCATGTGGGGTAAAGCGGCAGATATTCAAACTATATTTGTATTGCAAAAACGAGCGATTCGTTCTGTGTACCGTCTAGGCTCTCGGATTTCTCTCAGAGAAAAGTTTAAGGAGACTGGTAAACATGACTGTGGCATCACAGTACATTTACTCAAATATTTTATATGCTCGAAAAAATATACATAATTTCAATAAGAAAGAAGATATCCATAATATTAACCTTAGAGATAAGTCCAAACTCATGATACCACGATTTCGTTTAACCAAGGTAACCAACTCTTTTATGGGGAACTGTATACGTTTTTACAATAAGATTCCGGAGCATATATTAAGTTTATCATTTCCTAAGTTTAAAAACTACATTAAAAATATTTTGATCGAAAAATCATATTACGAAATTGAAGACTACGTGTTAGATAAAGATGTATGGAAAGATGACATGGCTCCAGAATCCACACAAATTTGATTCAAAGTGTATTCCATAGCATTTAAGTTTATTTGAAAAGAGCAATCCCTAGAGTTTCTTGCTCGTTCTTCTCAGGGAGGTCAGCGTAGTTAACGAGCAGTAGCTTAAATGTGACGATTTCAAGTGTAAATTTATTTTACCTATGGAATAAATAATCTTTGACTTTGACTTTGAAATGTGATGGGAAAATCTGCGAAGAAGATTAAAAAAGATCATTGTGCCGATGTGGTGGATTTACTCTTTTTAGTATTGTCCTTTCATTCTAACTCATGATTTCCAATTGCCTGTATTTATTTGTAACCAATTTCATTATCGTTTTTACACTTAACCAACAGTTTACGGCAATGTTTAATGCTAATGAAAAGTATTTCATTCTCCCTATTTATCAACTCACGTAATCCAGTTTGATCATTCAATACTACAGCAAACAAAGATCTTCTAATTATTTTTATCATATGACAGCAAATATCATAACTTTCTTATAAGATATTACGCTACATGTCATACTTTTATTTAATTTTCGATTGCGTTTATTTGTAGAGTATTTGTTGAGTAAAATGAAATATAGAGTGTTATAAAAACACGAATAAGTAAATATCTAAAACAGAATAAATCCGAATGAAAGACGTATACATATAAAGTATAGAAGAAGGAGCAAGAAGCCTCCTTGTATAACACTACAATTTTATCATAAATAACATTCATGGAAATGTCGCCAATATCGGAAAAATGGCACTTGGATAAAATTGGAAGTAAATGTGGGTTCATGCAATAAGGTGCATGACAGAAAGTGCAGAAGAAAAACACCATTACCTACACCAGTAAATGAAAAAATTACACACCTCTATTGATTGTTACTCATTAAAAATTGTTTAATATGGACGTATACTAAAGTTATATGACAGAAGGATATAGAAAAACTTTACATTTCACCACAACAGCATACTGTCACTATGCAACATCGGTTTTGCAGCAAAAGCGAATTGGTTTTTAATTTCTTTCGATTCGTATGCAGTTTGGCAAACGCAGTAAAAACTTTACTGCTTATTTATTAGATTTACGTATATTTATGGCTTATAACAACCATCAAAAGATACCTTACAGTGCTTGTAATTTAATTGATATTTCCATTGTTAACTATTAAACACACTGTTAGACAATACTATAAATTGCGGTCTCATAGTTTGAGAAAGCAATAAATATGTCTCTTCTCATTAAAAGTATACAACTGGAAAAATTTATACAAATTTTACAAAACAAATAAATGCCTTACATATATTTGTGGATTGACGACGTAAACATTTTTTTATCATGACTTTCGAGGGTTAAAATGATTTATTATTTTCAAGTTCATGTGTTTTGCGTTTTTATATTATATTGCTACGGGTTTTGTATTCTAAATAAGAATCACTGATATAAAACTTTTTATTTAATTCTGCATTCAGTGGATGCAGAATTAAGAAATAATATCGATCAATAAAATATATCTTTGTACTTAGAATAATAACGCATAGAATGATAGTTTCATATCAAACGAACTGTCACAAGTGAGGCAAAAATCAAATTCATGTAGGCTAGTTTTAGTAGTAGGTTAATTTTCGGTTTTAGTGAATATTTATATAAAAAAGTTGAAACGCGTTACTTCCTTGTGGAATGTGATGTTAGTATCTATTTTATGTTTGTCTGACGTATTTTTACACTCATTTACCGCACTTTCGTCATTTTTAGCTAAAATTCTTGATCTGTTCGCGGTGCAACTTGACCTTAAGCACTGACGGCCCGCCCGCTCGTGTAGGCCCTTTGGGAGCGCAATCAATTTGCCTCACTTAGCGTGTGCGGACTAGGTTTCTATGCGTTATTATTCTAAGTCTTTGTAATAAGTAATCAATTTTACCTACTTCAAACACTTTGTTGGCAGTATATCTTACAAGACCTCAAAACTCGAATCAATATGTTGGTTAAGACGAAATTTGCTCTAAGTGTCGCCCTAATTTCTTTATGAATTTATTTAAAATGTAGGAGACTTTCGCTGATGAAACACATACGAACAACCTAAGAAGAGCTTTTGAGTACAAAGCTCTAAAAGCATTATTAAATTTTGGGTTCAGTGGCATACCTTGCGAGACGTCAACGTCTAACTTAATTTGCACACTAATGTGTTCGATGTAGGCAAAAACGGTAAACTTGTTAAGAGATCCGCAAAGAAGTGGTGCGTAACATTGTGCATTAATTTGGAATTTACAGGTTTAAGTATATGACGGTGATTGCAGTAGTACAAAAGTTAGAGGATATTTGATGGTTGCAATTATTATCATGAATGGTGCTCAAATTCTATTTAAACATTATGATAGGCACGTTATTTGCCACATACAAACAGAGATATGAATTTCACTACAACTATTTTGATGGACGGAAATATGTTTTTCTCTGCGTAGGTACTTGAATGTCTTTGTAGCAGTTGTTTTTAGTTCCTGAGCTAAGCAATTGAGAATGTTGATTTAAATTTAATTCATTTCTGTTGGTAAATAATCGGAATAGCTACAAAGTGTAGGGTACCACAGGGGAGAGTTTTATTCCCCATTCTTTGTACGATGCTGTCCTTTTATAACGTGTAAAAAGTAGCTAAAACGTTTGATAGTACTATTTAATAAAGTGCGCCTTTTTATGCAAATACCATCAAAAAAATCTTTTTCTTTTTTTATAACATCAAGTGACGGGACGTACAAGTCTTGCGCCTGATGGTAAGCAACACGTCTGTCAATAACAGTTACAGTGCCACTCAGAGCTTTAAATTGCAAAGTTCTGAGGGGCACTACCACTGCGCCCGCCTGCACCCTGAGACATAAGCTGACAAGTCCCATGTGCCTGTAATTTCACCAGCACCCTTACAAACACAGTAATTCTGACATTACTGCTTGGTGGCAGAAATAGGAAAGGCGGCAGTACTTCCCTGGACGAACTCTTTCACATGGAACTCTATTGCTGCTATTAATACTAATACACCGAAGATAAAATTGTTATGCATTTGTTTGAACAACGTTTTACAATTAATAAACAAATTACTTTAAATATTTGAATTGTGAGTATTTGGATATACTGTGGTTTGACAGGAAACAAAACAAACAGGTAAAGAAGTAGAGAGCTAAAAGATACTTATGATTGAACCTCATGATCCGGTTGTACTGTCGAGTCAACTAATCCAAGCCAAATGGAACACACGCGTACTTATGCAAACACGACATCGGATTGCAACAGTTTACTGCTGTAGAACTTGACTGTGTAAACGCGCCTTTACGGGACTTGGATGTTTACTCATCAAAACGTTCAAATATGTAAATTGTAGTACCTCTGGTACACACAGTTTAGGGTTTCCAGGTGTTTGCTTAGTTCCAAGAATCTGTCACGAGAATGGGGCTGCTATCTGTATGTCTATCCGCATGTAGATAGCCTGTGTGTGATTACTTCATACGGTGTTACATTTATACGTTGAGGAGTATCATGTTAGATGTGAGGATGTTAGCGTATCAAGTTGAAAATTGACGGATATAGTTCGGTCGCACTAGAGGCGATATTAGAGAAAAATTAAAGACAAACCTGGGCAAACAAAATAGTGGGATGTATTTAACCCTTTATCGGTCGTACTAAATCTGTCCTGAGAAAGTTCCGAGATGATACTCCTAAACAAATAAATAATACCGTATGATATGACATGTTAATACTTATCAAGATAAAAAATTATGTTATAAAAGTAGAAACATTATTAACATTTAAAGCAGTCCGTCTGTTGCTTTGCCCTAAAGAAATGGGTTAGCGAAAGTGTTTGAAAATTATAAGAGTACGGTTGCTCTTCAAAGCTTTAACAAATTTTACTATTTTTTTAGACAATGTTTGTGTGTAATTAATGTAATTATTAATTATATTGTAATCTAAGTTTTTAGTTAAAAATGCAAGTGAAATCGGAAAAGAATTGTTCCAAAACTGGGCACACTTATTTACAATGGCTACTAGCGATACTGGGCAAGTAGTGTTGCTTTCTTTTATTATTTTATTGTTCATATTGTATATGAGTTTTTTTGGTCTGCTAACTGGCTGACGAACTAATGGATACGGACTGAAAATAGATTTGGGACCCTTTGCTTACTTAATTATACCAGTTGTTGTAAACAAGTTGCCCATACAGGTCAATTATATAAAGACTCGATCAACACTGACTGCTTATCTCTTCATTTTGAATAAAATGTTTTAATTTCAATATTATTATTTTTATTAAATATTATAATGATGTGTTTTTACTAATATGGTTCTTGAATCATACTACAGAAAGTTCGTTCTTTAGCTCAGTTAGCAGAGCAGCACCCACGTTCCACAGGCGCTGCTTCGAGTCCAGGCAGATTGAATCGTAATAATTTTTCTTTTTATTTGTAATTTGTTTGACATAGTTCCACATTAAAACAGGTGAACCAAAAACTATACCTTTTTTAAATCTAAATACATTTTATGCAATTTTCTGATCCCTTATAAAGACACAGAGATTAAATGTAACTGTGACAGATGACGATGTGAATGCAAAAATAGGCACAAAAGGATCAAACAAACAACTAAAGAAAAAGTTGAGTAAAAGAAAAAGGACAAAAAGGAAGGGTATGAAAAAAAAATATCCCACAATTTCCGGGCCAGCCAAATGTTGCTTTGGAAACAGGTTCGGATAGCCCGGGGAGGGTTGCAAAGGATTAGAATTAATGTCGTGAAAGGTGAAGATGGTGAATTAGTAACAGATTAGGTAAGTGTGAAAATGAGATGGAAAGGTTATTTTGAGGGATTGTATAATTGTGGTGAACCCGCGCCTCAGGTTCCGTCACAGGTGATTCAGGAACCGGACACTGGGAGTCAGGAAGAAGAGATTAGTATGGGTGAAATTGTAAAAGCTACAAAAAGTTTAAAATATGGAAAAGCATCAGGGTATTATAGGGTAAGTGGTGAAATGCTAAGGGCTGGTAAAGAGCTGGTGGCTTCCTGGTTGTGTATGTTTTTCAACAAATGTTGGACTAGTGGTGTGGTACCAACAGACTGGCGTAGAGCCGTCATTGTGCCACTTTATAAAGGAAAAGGACCACACCAGGAAGTCAAAAATTACCACACGGTATCAGTTTACTTAGCATTGTGGGCAAATTGTATGCAAAGATTCTGATAGAGTTGTGAAAGAGAAGAATGAGAAAATATGAGATGTACAAGCGGGATTAAGGAAGGGAATGGGATATACGGACCAAGTCTTCTCCTTAAGGTGCATTACGGAGAAGTTTCTGGCAAAGCACCAGAAAGTGTTTTGTGCATTTGTGGATCTGGAGAAGGCTTATGACCGAGTGGAGAGGGATATACTGTGGTGGTGTTAGTGTTGTCCGAATTCGGAGTCCCCACTCCGACACAGTGATTTCAGAATGCGTATCAAATGGCTTAATGAGGAATCCAGTGCGTGTGTCAGAGTTGATGGCACATTTTCTGATTGGTTTCGTATCTCTAGAGGTGTCAGACAGGGATGCGTAGCGTCACCTTGGCTCTTTAATTTGTTTATGGACAACTGCATGAAGAAACTGTGTGAGAATGATTATGAAGTGAAAATGGGCAAGTCCAGCCCATTAAATGTCTCGTATATGTTGACGACCAAGTGATCCTTGTGCCGTCTTCGGAAGGAGAGTTGCAAAAAATGCTGGATATTATGAATGAGTCGTTTAGAAAGAGCGGTATGTAAATTAATGCAGAGAAGACGAAAGAGATGGTTTTTAAAAGAAATGAGAACGTGACGGTATAAAAGTAGAATTAATGCAGTGGAGATGAGATCGTTGAGAATAAATTGTGGAATAAAATTGAGTGATAGAGTGAAGAATAGAATAATATGTGAAAGATGTGGCTTGAAAAAGGATGTAGTGACTAGAATAGAGAAATGAATGTTAAGGTAGTTTGGGCATGTAGAGTGGATGGATGCAAGAAAAATTACCAAACAGGTTTATGATGCGAATGTGGATGGAAGGGTTTTAAGAGGACGACCCAGAAAGAACATACATTGATCAGATCAGTGATGTCCTCAAAAAGGCTGGTATACGGAGTGACAATAATAAAAGAAGTTGTATGAAAAGAGTAGTTGATGTATATGAGTCTCGAGAAATGTGTCAGGATAGAGCAAAGTGGCGTTCCGTGGTCTCTGCCTACCCCTCCTGCGGGACTAGGGCGTGAGCTTATGTATGCATGTTATAAAGATACAACGGCTAACACATTAAAAGGTTATTACAGCTCAGTTAGCAGTACAGCTCCTTGTGAAAGAGCTCGTCCAAGGAAGTCTTGCCACATTACCTATTTCTACCGCCAAGCACTAATAGTCGCAAACGGAATACATTACTGTATTCCGTTTGTGAAGGGTAAGGGTGCTGGTGAAGTGACAGGCACATGGAACTTGTCAACTTATGTCTCAGAGTGACGGGCGCAGTGGCAGTGGCCCTCAGATCTTTTGGAGTTATAAACAGGCGTGTCGCTTATCACCAGCTTCACCACTTGTTGGTTCCGTCACTTGATATTATATAAAAAAATACAATAAAGAATATTTGATTCATTCATTTCATTCAGTACGTAGTGAGAAATTTAAATAATAATTTATTCCATTGACGTCACGAAGATTGATCTCTCAAACGATCCAAAGTTGACATTAGACTTTCTTTTTTTAGCGATTTCAAGTGACGGTATGTACGTTGCAATGCCACTCAAAGCTTTAAATGACAACGATCTAAGGATCACTGTTAATGCGCTACCCCCAGATCTTTATGATTTTAAATCACCTCAGCTTTGAGTTACACTGCAACTGTTATGGGCAGGCGTGTGTATGTGCGCTTACTACCAGGACTTGTTCGTCCCGTCACTTGGTGTTATAAAAAAAAGGTTAACGACTAGGTCTAGGACTATAATAAGTGAATAAATAAACTTCAGTTCCAGCAACAAGGAGCCCAAAGTACTCTTTCTGCGGTTATGCTACTATGTGCTCTATTATGTGTGCCCTACTATGTAGCCCTTGGATTACCCAGTCGACGTAATTTTCAAATATCGTTTGTATAGAAAAAAGAGTAATGGGATCAAACACTTGACGCATAGCTTTTTGTACAATTTCTTGTTTCGTACAAGACATATTCTTGTGTAATGTCATTGACACTCTGTGTGCACCTTTACGCTTCTACCATCACAGAATATTTTTTTTTATTCTGCTTTCGGTTGTTAGACATGATGTTTAAATATGTCTAAGCGTATTTTAGGTCGTAAAACCGCTAGCATCTTACCCAAAATTTAGAAGTCATACTAGAATTTCTTTTTTATGGAATAGTAATAACATTGGATTCTCAATCATAACCTTTCCAAATTTCAGTAAATACAACACTCTTAACATTCGGTCTGCAATTCGGTTGGATATCTGCAACGACCAAAGTTCTACAATCCAACGATTCTCCAACTGGTCCCTTGACGGATACCGAAATCTCCTGGGTTGCAAGCACCCTGTCTTTGTCAGCTGCTTTTGGAGGACCATTGTATTCTGTTGTTGCTGATAAGCTTGGGCGGAAGATTGCAGTCTTGGCGATTATTATACCTCAGACTGTAAGTTTATTTTCAACATTTTTCACCACATAACTTTGTCATTCATTCAATCAGTCAATTCTTTGTCATTCATCACCAAAACGTGTGAAGTTCCTAAAGCCACGTCGGGCCAGCGTGGCGGACCAAGGCTTAAACCTTCGCCTGAGACTGGACGTATAAATAGGTTGATGATGATGAACTTAGTCATTCCTACTAGATAGGGAAACTAAAAGATGCCCTAGTCTCTATAGGTTTTCACCACTACCAACACTACAGAAAAAATATAGTTGTTATTTAATAAATAAATAAAATTGTTTATTGAATAACGTATTGTACAAATGAATAAATAAAGACTAATTATGCGAATAAATGTGTTGTTTATTATTAAATAATATATGCTTGTTATTTATTAAAATATACATTATACTAATAACTAACGCATTCCAAACGTGTCCCATAGCATTTTGTGCACCTGACTTCCAATCAAATAACAAGCATCGTTTCCAACGAATACACAACTAACTTTTACAGTTTTAACAGGTTACCCAAGTGCTCCGAAGTTCACCAGAAGGTTCTTTAATTCCAGATTTGCTGGGTAATAAAGATCCTAGCGACTAACGTCGCGACCCTCATCGTCGGACGAGCATTCGCAGGGTTAGCTGCTGGTGGTTGCTTCAATGTTATCCCTATTTACATCAAAGAAATTAGTCAAGATGACAATATCGGTTTATTGGGATCTCTTTTCATTATGTTTCAGAATATAGGTTTGTCATTTTCTTACTATTATTATTTTACATTCTTGATAGCTTTCATTAAAATGTTATCCGTAGGAATTGAATACCTTTTCTCCCCTCTTGGACGTAAATCTATTTGGACATACCAACGTACTAGTCTGATTATTATAAATAAAAGTAATTTTGGTGTTCATATAATTCGTGCAAAATACTAAGGCAACATAAACAAGTAAGAGATTTCTCCACCTTTATACGCGAACCATGTATTATGGTTCGCGTATAAAGTACGTACGTGACTCCTGGTGCTCTGGTACTTCCGTCTACTACCTACGGTACGTCGCGTGTCAAGATGGAGCCGACTACCGCTGCCGTCTCTCTCTACACCACACGCATGTAAGCACACTCACCTTGCTGTGTATCACATCGTTGTATACGTCAAGCGCACGTCATTAATGCAACTAGTCGTCGGCCGTTATTTGCCATTTGCTTGGACCCTCGTATGCATGCTCGGATGCACGTACGCACTTCAATCTGTATACGAATCACAATCGCCGTTATATTACGTCATCAACTCAACGGCTTCAAGTTGTCGGCCGCCATTTTGCAGTTGCTTGACTCCCCCCTTAATAGAGCTAGTGTCGCTTGGTGCTCGCATTGTGGTAGATCTGATCGGATACACGTTGCACTTATCGCATTACCATAACCACAACTCTTCTGCAGGCTTCTGTCTGCCTGGTACTTCTATAGTGATAATCAATAGTATCTATTTACCACTCGGGAGAATGTCTGTTCAACACTCTCCAAAAGCTATGAGTGGATCAGCTCCGGACCTTACGACTGACCCTGGCAGTGGTGCGAGCCCCTTAATGTACGGAAACGATGGTGCTGAAAGTATTCCCAGTATTATACGAAGACCGAAGCGAAAATTTTGCGATGACGTGTCGGACTCGAGAGCTTTAATGAGTGAAATGAACAAGTTGTTTGCAAATTTTGAAAGTAAACAAAACGCCAAATTCCACTCCTTAAATACTACTATGAGTAACATGCTGCTCCAAAATACTTAAATCCAAAAATCCATCGAATTCTTCTCCAAAAAATCAGTAATTGCTTGAAAGTTTGGATAAATCTGAAAGAGAAAATGATGCTTTAAAAAAACGTATCTCTACACTCGAAAATACAGCGGACATTTTAGAAAGAAACTCACGTTCTGCTATGTTGGAGATAAGAAACATCGCCAATTCTGATTCGGAGAATAGGAACAATTTGACGGAGATTGTGCAGAGTATTGGCAGCGCAGTGAATCAACCAATTCAAAGTTGTAATATAAAAGATATTCACCGCCTAAATTCTAGAAGTACAGTCACGAATCCGGTCCTGGTTTAATTCATTTCTTCTTCTATCAAGGAAAGTTGAATTAAATCAGTAAAAACTTTTAATAAAACAAATAAGAATGCAAAATTGAACACCACCCAGCTACGAACATCTGGACCACAAAAACCAATTTTTGGTTCGGAATCGCTAACCCCGAGAGGCAGGCATCTTTTTTATCTGGCTCAGAACTTTGCAAAAAAAGAAAACTATGAGAGCTGTTGGACAGCATGTGGGAAAATTTACATAAAAAGGAGATATGACACTCCGGCAACACGCATAATTTCCGAAGAAGACTTTCTTAAACTTAAAACGTCTACATTGTGCCTGCTAAAAATTCATGTTTTTACCCAGTTTTTGTATCTTTACGTTATCACTTATACCCTACGAATTGAATTATGTACACACTCGACTATTTAACTACTACTACACACTTACACACAATTTTAAGAACGGCTTTATTAAATAATAACATTGTATATACTTTATGAACTCTATTTATCTATCTTTGTATATTTTGCACTATTTCAACAATCTATCACCTGAAACGAACACGAACCACTCAAATAATAATATATTCTGTTATTGTGTCCCTCCACATTATAACTTCTCATCTTTAAGAACTTAACATTCGATAACTTTACTTCTTTCAATGCTGATCTTGACTCCGTTTCGGTAGCTGAGTTTTCGATTTGCATGATGGAAGATTGCGCAAAATTGCGCCCAAAGACAAAATCTTTAAAATTACTCAATCAAAATATCAGAAGCATCAATTATAATATAGACGGATCCGCGGATGGAAGAACCGCCGCACTTCACCTTTGTTAGTTCTGATGTCTGCGACTCTGGCTATGCCGTCTGATCCGAAAATGAGGCGCTGCACGCGACCCAGCTTCCATGCAAGTGGAATTGTCCTCAGCCAACAAAACCATATCTCCAACGCTCAGATTTGTTGCATTGACCTTTCATTTTGTCCTTTGTTGCATTTCTGACAAATATTCTTTCTGCCATCTCTGCCAGAAATGCTGTCGTACCTTTTCAAGGCGCTCGTATCTTTTAAGATGACTCTCCTTGCTGTCTATCAATTTTGGTGTTGGGGGAGCAGTCAACGGTCTTCCAATGATGAAGTGATCTGTATGTACTCCTCGTTCAAGAATATAATCGTAGCCGGCGAAATGAACATTGATATTTCCAGGGACAGCGTCGATCATCGCTCGACCAACTACTTAAACTTATTAGCCAGGCATAGCATGTTACCAGCACATTTCCTCCCTACTCGTAAACGATCTTGGATCTGGATTATGTGATTTTGAAATCACTTAAGCCGGCTTTCTGCTATGTTGCAAATGCATCACTGACTGACCATGACTGCGTGTTACTTTTCCTGATCACATTCTGTAAACTTACATACCCTTCCAAAACATATAGGCAAATAAATTACTCTTCCCTCGAGTGTGACAGGGACAATATTGACTTTGCTCCCTTGTTTGAGATGGAAGATGTCAATCAGGCCACTGCAAATTCTGTTTTAAAAATTGTTCATTCAATTTATTACTGCGACTGCCCAATAATTGCAAATGTTGTTTATGTTAAATATCTTGGTATTTTGCGCAGATTGATGCACTCTCCTCGCGTCTCAGAAAACTGACAATTGTTTTTAAAAAGCTACGACAAGTCGCTGATTCTAATATCATTAAAACGGTTTATGTAGCCCTCTGCCAATCTTTGCTCGTTCATTGTACCACTGGATGGGGTGGAGCAGCTAAAACTAACATTCTCAAATTAGAACGTACTCAAAGAGCCGTTTTGAATGTGGGCTGGAAATTACCATTTCTGTATTCCACTGTTAACTTACACAAAAATTGCGAAGTGCTAACGGTTCGCCAAGTCTTTATCCTCCATACAGTTTTAAAAGCACACTCCCTTATGAAATTTGACCCAAATTCAGTGCTCTATAAACGCCGTAAACATTTTGTTGATTCAACCTTCGCAGCAAGTAGTAGCTTTGCACAGCGATTCTTTTGTTTTTTGTGTGGTTATTTATATATCGAGTTCTTAGGTTTTCGCGATTGTTACACATAGGAAATGAAACTATTTTTCCGGATTTAAATCGCGTATATTTGTTTTTTCAAACAAACCGACGTTTCGGGCCCTTTACAGGTCCCATGGTCACGGTTGACTGAGGTGTTACAGTCTTTAATCAGTTATGTCTAATATTGATACAAACCACCCTATTTTTTCACTATAGTTACAATAGTTACTAATTAATTACCTTATTTTTAATTTTACAAAGAAAACATTCCAATTTATGCTATATTAAGTTTTACAAATTATTTTATTGAATGAATTTTTATTAAGATCAATTTATTATTGACAAATAACTGTACCACCTCAGTCAACCGTGACCATGGGACCTGTAAAGGGCCCGAATCGTCGGTTTGTTTAAAAAAACAAATATACGCCGTTTAAATCCGGAAAAATAGCTTCATTTCCTATGGTTATTCATACATAAATAAAATTTATTACTTATATTTTATAAACTTTGCAGATATGACTATAAATATATTATTTCTAATTGGTTGATGAAACTAGACTATGTTGAAACTGAAAACCTTATTACCGTTCTTGCTTAATTTTTACAATCGTGAACTCACAAGCACACGCGCACACACGCACATATAAACACACACACTCTCTCTCAACTCACAAAGTCTCACTTAACACACACACACACATGCATGCACATACTCACCCACACAGAGAGAGAGTGGCTCACAGCACACAAAAATGTCACTTACTTTATTTTATTCGTTACTATTTACTGAATCGTTTTACACTCGACACTTATAGTTCAATATTAATTTAATATGAGTTGTCTGGTTGGTAGGAGCCTGGTCAGCTGTAATACAGGTCTAGTACCTAGTACGGCCTCCAGTCTCACACAAATAGCGGTTATATATTTAACATTGGGTCTATTTAATGTAAGATTTGTGTTTGTGTTTGAGAAAATAAATCATTATTATTATTATTATTATCATTACCTCGTAATTGACTCGAAAAAGGAAAATTTACTTAAGACTTATTTATTTAAGACTGTAGAATGTAGAAATAACAACGAAAAATTGCAAAATGAGTAAAGTCAATCTGTTACAAGTGCTTTTAAAGCTATTGCAATTCAGATAAAGTCAAGTTATTCCAGTCTCTTGCGTTTCTGTAAAGACTTAATCTGAGAAATTCCGACTTACAGATAGAACCCAAATCTATAACAAGTTTCCGATAGTACTTGAGATACTATAAACGTATTCTTCTGTTGTATCTAGTGGAAAAGATAAAAGCTAGCTTTTGCAGATAAAAAAATTATCGTCCAAGTATTAATGGACTTAAAAGAGCCAAAATATTTTTTTACAGGTATATTTCTTATTTACGCAATAGGCCCGTACTTGGATTACAGAACAGTGATATTGATAGCATTACCAGTACCTGTGGTAACCATGGCGGTAATGCTAAAGGCTCCAGAGACACCCGCATTCTTGGTCAAAGTCAAGAGATATGAGGTGAATGAGATACACGGATAACGATATAATAATAAATATATTCTGTACTAAAAAAATACTAGTATTGTCGGTCCCAGTACCAATTTTGTAATCAGTCCTACTTTGGTGCCTTTTATGTCACTATGGATTGCCACCATCTCCTAAAAATCTTTCTCTGACGTAGACTCATTTAAAATTAGTTCCATTTACTTATAAGCATTAAAACTATTTTTTTTTTTTCTATATTGCAGGAAGCTATTGCAACCATTGCTTTACTTCGACGTTTGGATATTAATGACAAACCCGTTCAAAATGAATTCCAGTGTTTAAGAAACGAAGATGTGTATTTCAAATCTATACCTAATGTGTCTTTGAAAACTATTTGTACGTACCTTACGTGGTAATAAGTATTGAATCGTCCATAAATAATTCTTTTTATCATTCTTTGCATAATTGTAACGCTGTGGAACAGTTAAATGTGACATGATAGTTACGCGTATCAAGCAGGTTAACGATCACAGAATGACTAAACCTAGTGCACAGAGAGATACTATTGCTTGGTAACTGTCTGTAATATTCAATTAAAAAAAAAATCAATTCAAAACAAAAAGATCGCCTGGTGGTTAATATTATTTTTTCATGTTTGGTATTTTTATTTATGCTAGAATGCAACATTGACTTGTTATAAAATAGTTGCAATATTTTTAGGGATGCACAAACCCTGGCGTCGCGGTGCCTTGCTTATGACCGTAATGCTCAATATCACAGCATTCAACGGGTGCACCTCTATTATTACCTATGCGTCTTCCATCATGGTATCTTCAGGAGTCACCTTGAATCCTGAGTTGCAAACTTTGAGCTTTCCCGTTATAATGGTTCTGGCAGCTTTCGTATCTATGGCTTGTATTGAACGTTTTGGGAGAAAGGTAAGTTTAATTTTCTTTTTAAATCAATTTTTGTAATGTTATGTCCTTATTTATTTAAATTTTCGCTGTTTTTTTCCTTTTACTTTTATTAACATGTACGATGAACTTGATTACCAAAAGTCTCAAAATTAGTTCCTTTTTGTTTTTGTCAGTTTCTTGTTTCTTTCAGACCTTGTCATCGATTGGATTAATCGGCGTAGCCATCTGCCTAATCTCCCTAGCAATCATCATTCATCTGCAGTGTCACGGCATATTTCCTCCTGGATGGCTGACAGTTGCGTGCATAATTTTGGCGTTGGCGTTCTACGCTGCTGGTATTTGTCCCGTGCCTTATATTATGATGTCTGAAATGTTTAATTTCCAAGTAAGTTTTTGTGTTCTTTTTTAATTCACATTCGAAAATTTAGCGTGATTGATACTTTGAATGTCAAAATGTCAGCAACCATTTTCTGCGCATAATATATTAGTGGCATCACATGTCCAGAATGCTCACATAATGTTGGGCACTGTAGTAATTTGACGGCAAAAGAGAGGGCAAACTAACATAGTTAATTTTAAAACTAGAGGTGTAATTACTACGACCAAATTTGACAAGGATAACAATGATGATGGTTCTGATTGAAACAATCTAAAGTCCTATGTTGACAAAAACAATTCGAAATAAATATTATTGTAGTCTGTATAACTGTCGATGGTACAATGCTATCGATTTATTCGTGAAGTACCCATTAATACTATCGTATTATGGCATGGATGGCAAATACATCACTAGAATCGGTTCTATTGAATATTCGGTTCTATTGATATAGTTACTTATATTAATAAAATCGATGGCTTAGTAATTTGACCTTCAAAACGAATTCTCAATATCATGAACTCATTATCTCGTACGGTTTTGTAATTGGTAATTTTAAATCATGTGAACATTAAATATTTTCTTTCCAGATCCGAGCAAAAATAATAGCCATGATAGTTAGCATCTCCTGGTGTGTCAGTTTCGTTCAACTCATCATCTTCGCCCCTATCACCAACGCCGTAGGCATCCATTACGTGTTTTACATCTTCAGTGTTTTAAATTTATTTAGTGTGGTGTTTATTATTATCTTTTTGCCTGAAACCAAGGGAAAGAGCGTTGAGGAAATCGAATTGGAGTTGAGCAAATGAAGGCATGGTTTCGCTCATAGAATAAGATTTGTAAATAAAGATGCCCGGAAAGGTTTAATACCTATCATAAGGGTCGCTTGTTGCATTCTTGTCTTTAATTTTTTGTTTATCTGTGTGTTTTATTCATCTGTACAGTAAAGAATATTGTATTCTCGGCAGCATATTAATGAATTTGGTGTTAGAATGCCTGTTATTTCGTTCCTTAATGCTTTTATTATTCTTAATATCTTTGAAGTCCATGTTGTTATAGTCAATGTATATATTTATGTATTTATTTATTTGCAAACAATGTAGGTACAAAGATTAATAATTACATACATACCCCTTTGGGGTGCAGCTATTAATTATTGTTAAAGATAAAAATAATAATAATAATTAGGAAGGAAATACATATATCATATTGTAATTAACATTAATAGACTATAGACTATTAAATACTCTTAAAATTACATATCAGAAACTGGACTATTTGGGCTTATTGCCCACACTGTAGTAACATCCATTTAACAAGAGAGACCTCAGTTTGGTTTTAAACGTGTTGTCACTTTACTTTCTTGAAGGCGTCTGGTATTTTATTATAAAATAATATACATCTATAGAGTGGGCTATCTCTAAACATTTCCAATTTTGGAGTTGGTAATACGAGCTTTGTGTCTCGGCGTGTGCTTTCTATGAACTTAAAAAGGTCCAAATGTTGTCTTAAAAACATGGCAGCTTCCAAGTTGTGTATAGACGGAAGAGTCAACATTTTTTCATTTATAAAATGTGGCCTGCGTATATCTCTTGGGCGTATATTGTTTATGATGCGTAGGAATTTCTTTTGGATGATAAAAAGATCATTTGCTTCGGTGCTATGGCCCCACATAATGAAGCCGTAGCGTAACCACATACATATGATAGTATGCGAAGAGTGCACATTCGCGTTTGGTGTTGGCTTTTAGAACGGTTAGCGCGTAAATAAACTTGGACAATTTAGATTTAGTCATTTCAATATGGTTTTTCCAATTTAAATGTGATTCCAATGTAATATTCCCAATAGTGTAAAATGTGTTGTTTCTTCTATATTCAGACTATTTGCAATTTTATTCAAATCTAATGATAGCTTTTGATGTGCTCGAAATTGAATTATTTTGGTATTTTTTGAAATTTATTTCTAGATTGTGTTTCACGACCCAGTGTTTCATAATATCAAAAGAATCGTTAATTTTGGTAATACTATTATGATCATTGTTTTCACATTCAAATAATAAAGATACGTTGTCGGCAAACATTACACAAAATGTGTTTGAAACTTAAGAAGGGAGCAGAGGAAAAATTCCTAATCTTCGATTTGATTTTAGAGGGGTATATCCACTTTAAAGTTAAAAATAAAATATTGTATGAGTAACTACACGATATATTCAAGCATAGACACTAATCAGAAACATAAAACAATAAAGTTTCCTCGATAGGTAAAAATCACGAAATGACCTCTAATTTTCACATTTTTTCGATTCATTCTCGAAATGCTACAGGTTATTAGGACAAAAATTAGATAATTAATTATATTTATGCATGATCAAGAACTGTCACTACGGATTTTTTTAATCCCTTTAGTTTTAGAGTTATTCCGCTAAAACGAATTTGGCACTTTTAATGCGCAAAATTCAACATCTCCTGTCGCATGTCACGCGAACTTCAGGCATATATTTGTATCACAAATTTGGGCGGAGCCAACTTCAAAACTTTTTTGGCATGAGAGCTCTTAAGGTAGATTATTGATGTGATTGATGTTTAGTGGTAATTAATAGAAAAAGATTTTATTATTTAAAGTAGGACGCTATATTTATAAAATATACCATTGGACAGATTGTCTAAAGATATATTACATATATATTATAGTACGCGCCGCTTGTGTCGGACGATGCCGAAATAAAAATTTCCAGGAATAAGCATAGGCTTCACTTACCGATTGTTCCACAGTTCCATTTGAAAAACCTTTAACGTCTTAACTTTATATTCTCACACACACATACTTTCACTCGTTAGTGAAAGTATTTCTCGAAATAGACAAATCGACTGCGGATCAACCGCGCGTTAGCGTGACTCTGAAAGAAGTAAAGTCCGTATTTTGGCGGACAGGAGACGCAGCAATACCGCTGTAATTTAGATATTGTTCATTACATCAAAGGGAGGATCAACATCCGTAAACGTCGTAATTCTGTTAGTAGCAGCGGTTGTTCATCGAGTAGTTCATCAACTTGTTCATCAAGCAGTGATTCATCATTCATCGAAGGTTAGTTATAATAATTAACTTATTGATTGTTTTTATTATTAATTTCACTGTTGTATAAAATACCGTATAATACCTAAACAAATTATTATATTTTTAGACTATGAATGTGAATAAATCATGAAACAAAAAAAAAGTCACTGGGTTTTTTTGTGTTACTGCGTTTTTCCTTCGCTACTACCAATTTTAAAATAAACATCTTAATTTGAACAACGTGTTTTTTGTAGAAAATTATATCATCTACAAAGTGACATATTCATTTATTTCTTTACATTGATAAAATGTGAAATGTGTTTTTTTTTTTTTTAATTCCTGTCTTGAAACAATACAATGAAAGGTATTTTTAATACATCAGAAAAGTTAATTTATATGTATTTCTAAGATCTGATGCCAATGACATAAGAATTTAGATTTTATTACTTTTTTATAGTTTAAAATCGATGTACTGTAAAATCGATGTTTTGGAGATAACATATTGTTCTGGCAATTGTGCGATATATATTTTCACTTATTATTTGAACCTTGAAGTAACAAGGGAAAAGATAAAGTAGAGGGTACAGTTTGAGACTTTCTTTGTTAGATCCAACGTATTAGCATAATCATACCCAAAGGGAACGCTGTCTTCAATTTAGACTACTTTTCACAAGTTTCATCCATATACTGTAGCCCTAGTATTCAAGCATTTAATTACTAATAGGCCTTAGGTTTCAAATTTCTGGATTAAGTGTGGACAAATGAAAATTGCAGCACTTGTTCAAAAACTTTTAAAACTGTACGTAATTTGTACAGAAGACAAGCAGAGGTTTTCCTTATTAGACCAGTCTGGTCACGTAGTTCTCAACTATAATAGTTGACTAAACAAAAGGACACAAACCCATCGGCTATTTGACCGAATAGTCCGATCAACAAGCTAACCATATGCAGCGGCTTCAAAAACAATAATTAGCTATTGTTTTCCTTTAGATTGATCTAAATCTGACTATATGCTTATCACAGACTTACCTAAATCACAGTGATTAGTTTGAAAATGGAGAATTTTTGTAAGTACCAAATATCACAAATCCACGGACACAATCTAAAACAGGAGAAAATAGTAACAAATAAAATTTTCATCATCATTTTGGTATTAATAGCAGGAAATAACTTTATTAGCACACAAAGTTTGAAAGTTAGCTTTCAGCGTTATAAAATATACACCACCTTCGAGAGTATAATACACAAGTCTGGTTTGAAAAGCATTGTAATTGTAAATGTCGGAAGTCTTACCCAAATTCTTTGATAAAGTAGACTACTCTGAAACTTCTACTGGCTTTAAGGTGAGTTTATAAATGTTGTTTATAAGAGTTATGTGATTTAAATACATCATGATTAGCCCAGCGTCTTCATACTATTATTTTTTATATATAATAGACAGATGACTCCACTCTACCCGATGCCCTAGCCACCTCCACCCTGCATGCCTATAAGATGCCTCTTCAGGCCTTGTTTGAAGGATTATAGAGATACGTGCGCTGGAAGGTAGTTCCATTTGTCGACTGTGCGACAAAAATGGTACCACCAAATCTTTTAGTTCGCGACGGAATACGGCAACATGTTAAACGGTGAATATGGAGGCCAGCCCTCATAAGGCTGAATAAGTCTTCAGAGCACTCGCCACGGTACAATTGGATAAAAGGAACTCACATAATTAAAAGCGTTCACTGTTTACAACGGCGTATTAAAAGTAATCCTCAAAAGAAAAGAGATATCAGTGCATGTTCTTGGCATGTTCAGTGAAATATTAAATGTCGAAAAAGTGTTGTTTGGTGTCAGTAGCAATTTCCTATAGCAAACACCTACGCCACAAGGAAATGCTATAAGAAAGAATTGACTCTGAATATTTCTTTAGTTGTCTTGTATGTCTAGTAGCAGTAGAGCTTCTTGTGAAAGAGTTTCTACAGGGAAGTACCGCCGCTTTACCTATTTTAGCCACCAAGCAGTAATGTAAGCATTACTGCGTTTCCGCTTTGAAGGGTAAGGGTGCTGTTGAAATTACACGTACATGGGACTTTTCAACTTCTATCTCAGGGTGACTCAGATCTTTGTGATTTAAAACTCTGAAATCGGGATTTACAAAACAACTTGTAATTGGATAATGCCTTCTAGCAGTCATAAAAACTAATTAATCTCTAAGAGACAATCCAAATTTAAACAATAAGTCGTAACGACTGTTACAAAGTTTCTTAATTTGGTGCAACTTTTAATGGGAATGTCCTCTGAAGTATTCTCTTAATATCAATTAAGTAAATTCTATCAGAATAAAATTTAATTCAAAAATATCGATTTTGGCTGACTTATCTTAACCAGATTGAGAATATCGAGTTGTTAGATTTTCGCGATTGTTACACATAGGAAATGAAAATGAAAATGAAATATTTGTTCTTTGAAACAAACGTATATCGCATATATTTCTTTGAAAAAACAAATATACACGATTTAAATCCGGAAAAATATTTTCATTTCCACTCTCTGAACCAACTAGATGATCTCATTGATTCCTTGAAACGACGTGTTACGGAACTTTTTTATGATACCAGGTGACGAAGTGTCAGGATGAGCCCGGGACCTAAGAGATGGTGACACTATGAAAAGAAACCACTCGACCACGGAGGTCGTCTCTATGTCCTCAACGTATTTTTCTTAACGTGCCATATAAAGTATATTCCATTCATTAATTCATTCAAGTTCTTGAATTGAAACCACGACTCGGCAAATGTAGTGTCGGATGCCGTCTAACTAGATGAGTGACGATTTGTGAAAGGCTGCTGGAAGCAGATGGATGCTAAGGACCGGGCGGAACGGTTGATGATAATGATCCATTCATGAACAAAAGATCGAGATGAGTAAAAAAGGTTGAAAGCGATATATCAGGAACGTAGAGAAGAGCTGAGAAACCGGATGATGAGCCAAAGCAGCCACAGAATAAAGCCACAGAAGAAAGAAAGAGCGAAAAGGCCAGTGGGCAGACCACCAGTTCAGTGGTCTCATGATATGTTTTTTAGGTTAGTGAGTGACGTGACGAACAAATCCTGCTCCTGGTGTAAAGCGACAAACCTGTTCATAGCAGTTGCAGTGCCGTTCAGAGACGTGCCATATGCCTGTAATTTCACCAGCTTCCCTTCAAAACCGAAACGCAGTAATGCTCACATTACATGAAATACATACCATGAAAAT